TTCCTGGATGCTACTGGAAATACTCTCTGTACTGAGCCAACTATTCAGAGGACAACATAACTTTCAAAGCCTCTCAACTCAACCTTCTCTGTGTTTTTTTTCCCCTTACTCTCTGCAAGACTCTTGTGCTCTGTTGTGATAAGAATGGCACATCCTGAATTTGAACCATTTTGACAATCTGATGTAAAAATTCTGGTCCTTCAAACCAGTGAAAGAATATTTGCCTCTAATAATTGAATCGGGGTCCAAACCAAATTCTGTAGCTGGTGCACATCCAAGTGTCTGCCGCACATTTTTTTCCCAGATACAGAAGCAAAAGAAGTAGCACTAGCACATAATGCAACTCACCCCCCCTTTCTTTTGGAAGATGGCTATTTCAGATATGCTGTTGCTGCAGTGTGTGGCATAAAGCAGCAGACTGGCCCAGTGCTTCGAGAAATAAGAATGTCTCCTGAGTAGACTGCACCAAAGGGATGCAGCTTGATGGATGTGAAAAAAAATTATTTGAGAGTACAGTAGAAGAGCTTGAAAAAGTTACTCCTGTGGACTACATCTCCCAGAACCCTCTTTCTAGCATGGTGTCTGGAATGGAAGCATCTCAGCCATTGTAGGGCACACAGTGAGGGTCCCATTGGCTCCCATTTGCAAGGCACATTGGAGAGCTGTGGGTCAGCTTTGACGGTCTCAAACCAGAAGCCCTGAACTTGCTTGATGAGGCACATAAAGAATGCTGGGCTTCCCAACTTTGTCTCACTATGGCAAGGACTGAGCAGATCTAATCATACAATGGTGGGGGAAGTTGAGGTGTGTGTGGGAGGGGCTAATTCCAAGGAACAGGCCTTCTTCCAGAACCCCCTGGTTCCATGTTACTGGGTCGCACACTTGTCCTTGAATGTTTGCTGTGGTAATCTTAGGAGCTGCAACATTCCTACTGGGTTTCTTGGGAACTCCCTTGGAGATTCCTCTGCAGACAGCTGTTTGCACTTAAGGTCTTACAACCATCATACTTTATAGCTCATGATTCATATCATACAGAACAGATGCTGTAAAGTTTCATCACAGACTTGTACATGAAAATGAAGATCTCTGTCATATTGAAGGGGACGGAAGTTGTTTTCCTTACCTTGCAGCTGTCCTCTCATTGTACTGTCTATCTGAAGAATGGAAGGGTGAAGCACAGTAACTTGCATCTTGATTGTACGCATTTATCCCCCTACTAATAAAGCAATAATCAACATGTTTCTTCAGAAGAAAGCCCCACCGGGCTCAGTAGGGCTTAATCCCTAAGAAGTATCAGCTTTTGTTCAATGTAAACGTGGAGGAGGGGTTTTGCAACATTTCATAATAAGTCTGATTAGCACCTGTAGAACATGGGGGAACCAACATTTCACAACAAATCTGTTAGTATCTTGAGAGCTGATCAGTGGTACAGGGGTGTTTTTTTTGAAAGTACAGGAATTCATTTCGACAGTCTCCCTGTCCACGCTTCCATTCAGGATGCCAGATAGTCTGTGTTATAATGGTAATCTATTATTTATGCCTTATCACCAGAGCATGAAAATCTCATAGAACAGATCTATTGAATCTTTGACCAGACATTTTGGATTTCTGCTTCCAGAAATCCCAACCAACCTAGTCAATGGTAAGAGATCATGGGAGTTGTAGTCCAAACATCTGGAGGGCCAAGAATTCCAGTCCTGATCAATTAGCTTGTTGTTGCTACGGGATGTCACTTCTGACTTATAGTGATCCTATAAGATAGTGACCGCTAGAAGACTCTGTCATTAACAGCTCTGCTCAGGACTTGCAAACATAAGGCCATAGTTTCCTTCATCATATCAAACCATCTCATATCAGGTCTTTTTCTTCTCCTGCTGACTTCTGCTTTTCTTTTTAAAGATTTTCCAGGTAGAGAATACTCAGAAGTGGTTTAGCATTCCCTTCTTCTGCCGGTACCCTGGGACTGAGCAACTTGCTCAAGGCCACACAGGCTGACTCTACTTGCAAGAAGCACAGCAAGGAATCAAACTCCCTAACTCTGGCTCCACAACCAGATACAGTATCTAAACCATTGAGCTATCCTGCCAGCTCTTTTCTGGTTAGTTACCCTTAAAACACACATGAAATATATGTATGCATTTAATGTATTGTTATAGACCTGAATTCCTTGCATCTTGAGCATGTTTTTAGCAATCAGGTAACTGATCTCATTCATGTCCTGTATGCACTGAAAAAAAGTATATGGTCACTTCTTGTCTGGGGAAGAAAAATCCTCAATAATTTTTCTTGAGACATGCATCTGTTTTCATCTTATAAGAATAAGGTGCTATTTACTCCCTCTCTTAATATGTCTTGACAACAGAGTGGAAATCTAATAATTTACTTATGCAACTTAAATTGCTTGAATCCTAGGATGACTCTCTACTACATCAAAATGGCTCTCAGGGCTGTGATTACTTAGTGATAAAAAAAGGCAAACTGCATATAGTGAGAGGTATTCTATTATTACTGAATGTCTGGCTGAAACAAAATCAATTGCCTCACTGCAGAGGCTTTTGGTGACAGCAGGGTGGGTGGGTGAGGAGGTTTGATCAGTGATGTCAGAAAAATTCTTACCTTAAGAGTGTCCATTAGCAAACATTAAATTTTATTAAATTTTATATATGACAGTTTTGTACCACCTTTACTTTAAGAAATAGATGAATAACAACCATGGTTCAAAACAAATCAAACAACATTCTTGCATGAGGTGAACTTCTTTTACCTTTAAGTAGAAAGGCAATGGATGTGCCTTAGTGCTTGATTGTCCTGATGTGCAACCTGTATTGTGGACAAGAAGCTACCATTAGGACAGAATATGGAGAAAACAGAATGGTTTCCTATTGGCAAAGGTGTCAGATAAAGATGTGTTTTATCCCCTTACCTGTTCAATCCACAGGCAGAACATATCATATGGAAAGCCAGACTAGATTCTGATGGAGGAGTGGAAATTGGTGGAAGAAAGATCAGTAATTTAAAATCTGCCGTCTTACTGGCAGAAAGCAGCAATGATTTGAAATAATGGTTGTTGTGGGTTTTTTGGGCTCTTTGGCTGTGTTCTGAAGGTTGTTCTTCCTAATGTTTTGCCAGTCCTCTGTGGCTGGCATCTTCGGAGGACAGCACTCTTCAGAGGAGAGCACAGAGTGCTGTCCTCTGAAGATGGCAGC